GAATGAATTTAAAAGATTAAGAAGAACAAGGAAACAAGAAAATATAAGGAAAGCATCATATGTTCAAAAATGTGTTATACGGCGATACAGTGTGATTCCTCAACAGCTTATAAACATCAGTTTCTCAATCCCTATAAATGTTATCAAATTTTATGAAGAAAAGATAAGCTTGATCAAATAGATAATGCTTCAGTTATGGACTAAGACTGCAAGGGATGAAAAAACGGATAAAAAATTCAAATGAGTTAGAACAAATTTTTTTTAGTGCGGCAAATTGTAGGCTGCTCGAGCATGCGTAAAGTGTATAGAATTATTAAGCTTAGAAGTTTCAAAAAATCAGCACTATCCCTGATGATTACCATGAATAAATAATTTCAAATTTGGTTTTTGTTGTTCTTGTCCCAAAAGGCTTATACTTCTAAGAACAAATCTGAAGACGAGAAATTGCACCATTTTTTGGAGACTTCAGACAAAAGCATGAGAAAGCTGGAAGACTGCCAGAAAGACTGAAGCGACTCTGATTTGATTTGCCGAAGAAAAAAAGCTGGCTGGCTGCTGCATTCGATTTTGGACGATAAACTACTCGACGGGACAAGACTGGAGGTCACACAAACCAAAACCAATAAAAGTTTTATGTCGTGCGATAAAAAGTGGCCCTAAAGCTGTTATGGAATTTTTTGTTGTGAATAGCCGCACGTAAACACGGCAGCAAGTTCGTAAATATGGTTGAAAATAGTAAATAAACTGGAAAAACCGAACGCAAAAGTGCAGAAAAACCATGGCATGAGAAAATGGACCATAAATTTCAGTAGAAAATGTGACTCTAGCATGTTAAGATCTGGAGAACTAAGAAAGGAAATTTGAAAGTAACCACTCCCTAGAACGTCGCCACACGCACACACTCGGCCAATCAATAGCGTTGTCCAAAGCGAACATCAGGACCAGATGTCAAAACTTCGTCGACGATGACCCATTTTGGCCGGGTGCCAAATCGGGTCCCGATCTACTAAACCTTCATTTCCAGCACGGGATGAAGAGAAAGAGAAATTGAAGCAAAAGCAGGCGAGAACTCGCCGTCGAATGGCCTTCACCCTAGTAACGAGGGCCCCGTGCATGCTCGTAATCCCTTGCTCTGCATTTATGAGCCCTATCATTCATGAGTTATGCATGGTGGAGCTAGAGGCTAGGAGTAGTAGGACTTTTAAGCTTACTCGACGTAAGAACCAGTATCAAACAGTTCTCCCACGATGATGTCCAAAAATCGTTTCTTTTTATTAGAAAAAATTCCAAGAGATCTAGGCGCCATGTTAACAACACCAAGAACACAAGCAATATAATTTTATGAGGTAAAAATCCAGCTTGATTGGCCAATTCGTATGAATTAGGTAGGAACTATTGTAAGGAAGAATAAAACGTCGAAGATATATTGCACGATGAAGTTCAAAAACTATTGAAGAAAAAATATGGGGAGGCGAGCAAGTAAAATTTCCAAAATAACACAGCAGTTTTAGATTTTACAAAACTCGCTTGTTTACAGAGCCTCTTGCAAGACATACATTATTTGTAAAAATGAATAATCACGAAGCTCAGATCATTTCCATCAGCATTTGCAAAAGAAAGTAAATCAAAGAGAGAAGAGGATTTTTGTAGGCAAAATGAAACGGAAAAATTGAGTAAAATTTATGGAGTTATTAAGTAAGCTCACTCTTCTACTTCCAAAACGTAAGAAGTATAGTGGTACTGTACTAGGATAATGCTATCTTACATTTTATATTGTCTTCGTTTTCAAGTTTTGCTGCTAAGGACAGAAGCTCATCTTTGCTCTCAGAATTCTGAGCAGAAGAAGAAAATAAATAAGAATTGTAGCTATTTAGGTTCACTTTATAAGGGATTTGAGGAATTCGATGGCTGTAGTGACCAAAGAAATACATACTCATCTTTTCGAAACGGTGAGGACTATCGCCGTGGAAGCCACGAATGAGCGAATATTTGCTCGGGCTGTTTGATGTGTTGCGTGCGGTCAAGAGTGGGGATCGTTGCATCCAGCCAGCATGTGTTCAAATAATTACAATGTTGTTGTGCGAGAACAATTAGCTGCGGGAAGACGGCTGTTAAATTTGCAGTAAACAAAAATTCAGAGAAGACTGTGGGGTGTATTGAAGCCTTGAATTATTAGGTTGATGCAAAAGGAATGGCCGATTTGCGAATTCTCACTTTGACGTGCTATAACTTTCTAAAAGATCCACATTTCTGAATGGGGTAAAGACCCTCAGAAGCAGCAAACCTTTCGCAATACAACGCATACTCCCTTATACTCAAACCATAAACGGGAAGAAATACGGACTAAAAGACAAAAAAGTTGACAATTCATAACTTCCTTCAAAGTTGCATAGTATGGATGATAAGTGGTCCATCTTGCGCAGACCAGTAGTACAAAATACATTAGAAACAATTTGGACAAAAAAGTTGCGAGAAGGAAAAGAAGTGAAATTTAAAATTTCTCAGTTTTTTTTCAACATTTTTTCAGTCTGCCTCAAAGTCCGGACTATAGAATTTTCTGATTTTCTACGTACACAACAGCTGGATGTTTTTGCAAAAACTGCTAAGAGGATGTCCTAGCCTTACGCTTACAGAATTGAGCAAAGCTTCGGCGATTGACTTCTTCAGAAGAAAATTATGGGTCATAAAATGACCGCAACATCTACCCATGTTTAGGCGCCGATATCTCAGTCTGGATAACTTCAAAGAATGCAACTGAGTATGCATAATGTAGACAATTTCCATTACATACAATAGCTAAATTTTCGAAGAAATATCATTGATACGTGCTTGATTTCTGGCCGGAAAAGTGAATGCAGTGAAATTCTGAATTGGATGCGGTTATTTGAAGCTCAGTAACTTCATAAGAGATGAAGATGAGAGCCCGTTTCAGGCACCGTTAGATAGAGCATGAAAACAGCTTCGCGATGGTCAACTACGTCTATTATAAAGAAGAAGTATTGATGGAAGAAAGTTGCCCTGAAAAAAGGCTTGGAAAATCGGCCATTTCTTTTGCATCAACCTAATATTATTGTTATTTTTGGCACAAAAGTTTGTTGGAACCATACTCAAAAAATTCACAACTTCCTTGTTTCTCAACGGATTTGCCATTTAATTCACATGCGCTCTATCAAAGCATATAGCCCTCCTTCCTTTATGCACAATCCGCGTAGATAGAAGCGGTAGAATAAAGTTACGCAAATTTTGATTTTCATGTGTTTGAACATGAAAATTTGAGTCTTGCGATTTAAATTGAAGGGATCAGTATTATGAGCTTCTTGCGCTACATTTTTCAGCAGAAAATGTGTTGATTGGATGTCTCTACGAGGGGTTATGATTTTTGAAAAAAATGCCAAAAGAATCAAATTTGCGTTTTTGTACTGTTTGCTCAATTTCATAACTTTTTACAGAAACATTTAATCAGCACAGGTTTCGTTTGGTTAGAAGAAGCTGGGAAAGACAATAACACTGACTGTTCCGAGTTTCACTGCAAGTTTCAGAGTTTTTACTGTTAAACATAGGAAAATCAAAAGTTGAGTGTTCTCGTTTCCATCTCCGTTCTCTGGGAGTTGTTTTTTATGATTGTGAGCTTAGGCACTATTGAAAAGGATATGATTTCCTCTTCCAAACAAAAATGAAAGTCATGAATTTTTGAAATTGGTGCAAACGAACTTTCCTGTCAATCTTGTGCTTGTTCTCAAAAACTTCACTGGAAGTCTCACAGGAGGTTTGTTTGACAACTGAAAATAAGAAAATAGAAATGTTACTTTTCAAGCAAATTTTGTGGTCTATCATGCGGAGAGTGGAAAAGAAAAACTCATTCGTAGCTTTGTGTATTACTGAGTCAAAAAAACGACAAGCAGGATTTAAAACAAAATCAGCGTAGGAGTGGCTGTTGAGTATTACAAAAAATTAATTTAAAAAATGCACAAGAATGAAATATGCCACATCTGCGAATTGTGAAACAGTGTAAAAGGACCATTTGTAAGTAAATTGAGTGATTCCATGGATGAAAAATCAATAATTTGGAGAATGGATAAAAAACGACGAGAACAAAGGAAAGCAGTAATCATTCAGGTAGAACTATGTCAACACAGTGACTGGGTTATAATCGTACGGATAAACGAGTACCGATCAGGGCTCGGCACGAGGTGACTTTCCGAAAATGTAAAAAAACGAAGTCCTCCCTGACTTTTACAGAATTTTACGAAGTCCCCTTTGACCCTTATCCGAATTATTTTAGTCGACTAAAAAAACCTAACCTAACTTGTGTTTTTCGCACCCACAAAAACGATATTTCCTTCGCTTTTTGTCCCAAAAACAATATCCAGCTTGCTTATAAGCCACCTGTGCCGAGCCCTAGCTGATTGAATGTGTACATGAGAATGAATGAATCAGATGAGGTAAGGAAGAAAATGAATAATGAACTCAATAAAGTGAAAGACTGGCTGAATATTGATTGGTCATAAGTTGTTTGCTTGCTTGAGTAATTGGGGAATGAATATTGGTGATATATGTACCCTTCGATTCAACGGGAGTGGCGGCTGGAAGGCTACCGCTCGCGTCGCGACGTAGTCTGCGTCCCTTCGCGAGCGTGCTCTCTGTTCATTCTCTAACCTTGATTAGGCCTCAAAGCCTTCCCGCCTTCCCGCCGCCAATACTGTTGAATCAAAGGATATGTTGGTAATCAAAGCCTTTCATGTATTCTTGCTTCAAATCAATCAAGCATCATAGGTATGTATAGGACTAAAAACTATAGTGATTAGCAATAATCTTAGATTCAAAATTACTCTAAACTGTCAGTCAAGATTCATAAAATTTATGAGTATTATGGAGATGATGAGAATGATGCAGAGAGGAATAATCGGCAATAAAATTTGTCTTGCTGATGAATCATACAATAACAGATATGAATCACATGGCAATTAGATGAGGCCCTATTTAAACAATGCATCACTCACCTGGGGCCTTTTTGATTTCGATTTCGACCATGGCCTATGGCACGATGAGGGAGTGCGCCTGAATGTTTCTACTTAACGAATTTCAATAATGTAGCAATAATCTCGTGCAAACCAACGCGATAAAACGAACCAGTTGATTTTCAACGCGTAGATAAGGATACGAAAATACAAATGTTAAGATAGTCAGAGGTTCGATGAAGATAATAGATCTTTTTTAAGGGAAAGAATATGCAGAATAACTGGAAGGAGACTGAAGAAAAGTGATTTCTGTGCATGCTTTCTCGATAATTCAAAACTTACAAAATTTCTGTCGCTAGTTTTGATGTTTACAAAGAAAAATGCCAAGCATGGAAATAAGGATTCCAATTCGTGCCTTCTTAGTGGTTACCATAATTTTTTTGAAGCCAAACTCGGTTCTCTAATTGTAAGGAGGGTGAAAATTAGGCTAAATGACAATTATTATTTCAAATCTGAATCGCAGGTCAATAAATGGGTTTCAATTTATCGCAAGAAAATAAAAGGAATCTCAAATGGAACAACGTGATCTTCTTTTACATTACTCCATATAAGACACTTAGACCAACTTTAAAAAATTGCAAATTTGTTCGGAGCTCAAATTATATCTCATTATCCAAGAAATAGATAGAGCAGTTAAAGAGTAGTTTTGGTCATTGACCGTAATTTTAAGAAAGTAGGAAGCAATAGTAATGCTCAAAGACCGTGGGAAAACAGACTTAGTCTTCAGTGCATTTCGAAGCAGTAAAAAACTGTGCTAAGTTTACCCATGTAATTTGAAAAATTCCTGAGGATTGCGGAAGCGCATAGGGTTAGAAAGATGTTATCAAGAAGCCACAAAAGAAATCCAAAATTTGAGTAGGTCCAGCTGTTGCTAGCTGTGTAAGTAAACAAGACGACTACGATCAATATCATCACCCATATGCTTATCCAAAAATTTCGAGCCTTCGGGAACAACAAACTTATTGACATTTACTTCTGAATGGTGACAGTAATTTACTATAAGGTTCGGCACAATTTTGACTTTGCAAAACATTCGAATAAGAAGCATAAAGCAAGTTAATTATTTAACATTTGACCACGAGATTTCAAATTATAAAGTCTATACAATTAACTACTTATGAGAGAATGCGATTTCTATTAAGTTTTACATTATTTTTGAGAAGTTCTGAATATGTCCGCTAGAGCGAGAGATTCGGGAAAATATTTCTGCCTAAATTGGGGAAAAGTATTCTAGCGCATAGAATAAAGTGCACTTTTCAAACAAAGGATATTGTTACTAGACGGAAAGTAAATTATTCACCGAAGTGTCTAGTATCAAACAATTATTCGTATGAATTTGCTGAGCTTGTTACAGCTAATTAAAAAGATATTTTGTGTATTAAATTAGAGCCAGCATAACTTGTCTTTGTTTCACTTACGAGAAGCGAATCTGCTTGAGTGTTCTAGATATTTGTTACATTTGCGGAAGTCAGTCAAGATGCAGATGAGTCTGAGCCTTTATAGGAAGGCTTAGCTCATTTTGCAAAAAAAGAATGCTAGAAAAGCTGGTTTTGGAAAAAAATCGTAACTAGCTGCTCTAGATGACATTATAACACTAATCAATACTTCAGATATTTTGCTCTTTAAAGACTGATTCCTACAGCTTCGTCAAGTAAACTTGTAGCCCAAAAGTTCACAATCTCCATAAGGAACTCCACACTAAAAATTTGGAAAAGAGTTAATACAGAAGCCATGACAAGAACAAATTGAAAACATTTGAAAGCAGTAATAAGGATGCGACGAGAATGTTAAGATTCGGAAATTTTCCTGCCTTTTTCTCTTTTTCTGTACCTTGTTTGCTGAGCGTTAATAGTGCTTGGAATGGACGAGGAAAAAGTTTAGAGAACAATTTAGAAATGAATATCGTGAATGATTTCGAGAAGGAGTGATAGATCGGCAAAAGGAACGCAAAAACTTGTTTATGCAGTGAGCCTTGCCAGCTTCAAATTGGATGTAGCAACTCTATAAGTTAATTATACAGGATGTTTTCGAAAATACATGAAAAGAGTTTGGTGTGAGCGTCAAATTCGTAGATATAGTTTTTGTTCTTAGCTATTCTTTGAATTTTCACGCTAATATTTCATAATAACGGCAGGGTAATTCTAATCTAATAGATTTGATCCCATAAGACGCACATCAGAATGGAGCGAATAGTAAAATGCGCGGCCAACTGGTTCCTCCAAAACTGAAATCCCATCAAGTGACACAATAGACAAAATGATATGACAGCCATGTTACACCTTCTTAACGATTGCCCTCAAGTGCAAAAAATCTTTTCAACTTGCCATGATAAGCGCGGTTTTTCCTCTTAGTCATGTTGAATACACATACGATTTTGCTTGCACGCTTTGTGAGAATCGGACATAGTTGGATCGGTTTAGATGGGCTCGAAAGTAAGAGAGGACCTTCGATGGGCGTTCTTGGATCATCGAAAAGGGGAAAATCAGAGGAAAGGAAAAGAGCACAATTGTCTTTAATCAACCTCTCTCAAGAACGGGATATTTATATGTTATTTTTTACTGCAGGTTTTATCCAAAGATACTTCCCCGAAGTGTCAAAAGATGTATTAGCAAGATTCGATGCTCCAAGGAATTCATAGAACTATCAAGTAATATGATTCGCGTACAAATCACATGGCAAGTTTGGTTGCGGGAATTTTAAGACTAAGGAGAAACTTTTATAAATCGAACTTTATTTCAAGAAACTGTAGCATAATTTATCTCTTTAGGAACATTTGTCCCGCTTTACATATCTATTACTGTTCGTTGATTTTCTTTCCGGCCTTTTTTAGAAGATAATGGAACATTAAATCAAATTAGCTCTATGAGATCTTCCCATATGATTGAAAGGGATTGCTCAGGCATATTAGGATTTGTGGGTTTTTTATGTATGAACCACGCAAGTGGGGACGCTTAATTGATCTCTTTCAGAGTGTACCCTATATGTAGAATGAATTCATTTATGGCTGGGGCATTCACTTTCAAAGTGTTGTTCAATACCGTAATTTTTGCGAAACAACCTAGTAGACTACTCGAGCATATGTACTGAAAGAGAGCTTTGAATTGAATTTTCGGCCATAAACTTATTATATGGGTTCTTGGGTAGTATTCGCATATAAATTCAAGTTAACAGATGCGCACAAATAACATCTCTGAAAAAAGACGCTAGCAAAATGCCGAACTTTGTCCATGCCAGATCAAATTTCAATCAATAAAATTGAAAGCAGCTTAGAAAATGAGTGAATTACCTATCGCGGTTATGATCAAGGGATTACGAATCACTGTTTATAATTAGGAAGAGAATGCGTAAAATAAGGTAAGGGAGAAACAAAGCAACGAGTACAAAACTTGCTATTGAATGAAGCGCATTTATTAGAGCGTCTATTTATACAATCTAAAGGTTTCAAAACATTATTCATAGCTCAATTGCCCAGAAGATGGCCGTTGATTCACTAAGATAGCTAAAATGATGAAGTGATGAATGCAAAGAACGAACATTTTCCACAGTCGACTCGGGAAAGTGTGCAGTAATAAAGACAACCGAGTATGACAACGGTTTTCAACACTTTTAAAAATATTGCTTTTCGATCGATAGTGCGTTCTGAATAGAACTGACTAGTTTTGCCACTGTGCAGAACATAGTTTTTACCTTAGCTCATATGTTTGCTAAGCGATTCACGCACTCTTCTTTCGCCCCCGGAAATATAATTTCTCATTTTTGTGTACACACTGAGAGAATAGAGAAGCAGATTATAGCTTCGAAAGAAAATGGGAAAACAAAAGAAACATAAAAGTGAAAAGATAGCCTAATGACATTAGTTCGAGAACGTCGCGATGTGCAAAGATATTTTCTCTCGTCTTTGAAACTTGTTCAGACAGCGAACCCGAAGATAAGAAGGGGATGCGATGAGCGATAATGAGATAACGACCGACGGTTCATATAGGCCTTTTTGCACTTTTGCGGTGAAGAAACTTCGATCTCTGTGGTTTATGGTTGCTGTTAATAATTTATCTGTTCATTTTTACTACTTAGATGTAGGAGGAAATGCGGAGCATTAGAACGTACGTTCGGATATAATATGAGGCAAAGGCTTGAACAGGAAAAGTGATACGAAAAAAAAGAAGAAAAGGAATGAAACTGCCTTTATCTTCATTTGAGAGAAGTATCGATGAAAGATAGTTTTCCATCGATGCAGCGTCAAGAATATCAGAAGCCGGGTTGAGCTTTCACATGCAAGAAGAAATTTTATTACTTTTTTTCCCATATTTGTCTACAAAAACGGTTGTTTTGAGTATTTTGCATCCCATGAGAAATCGTGATTCATGCTTCACATCTTTGATATCATGTATAACTAGTTCTTTCTGCTGATGAGGAAACGACAACTGAGGAAAAATAATTTTTGTGATGACATCATGTTGCTAGCAACCTGCTAGGTTGCTGTATTGCTTTTTATACTAAGTTTCAACTCAGCTTAAAAAAATTGGATGGCGGGAGTCCGCTTCGCAACAATTTGCGTCGTTTTGCAGCCTGCGTCTCTTCATTCTCATCTATATCGCTGAGCCAGTGGCGGTGCGGACGCGCTGCTCCATCCAGAATGCTCGCCCACTCCGGGTTGAACGAGGCCATACCTAATGTGGAATACTAGCTTTAGAAGCGCTCGATGCTTAACTTATACTTAGGGCGGTAGCATTCCCCAATGCTAATCAAATATATTCCCACGACGTACTGCTTCTACAAGCAGAGTCAAGCGCAGGGTGTGGCACGCCAACCTGGGGGTCGTAAAGGGGTCAGAAAGGGGGGGGGGGTTGTTGTCGAGGTGATAGTGATGTTGGCGACATTATGTCATTCAACAATGTCTGATAGGCCCATTGTACAAAATACCAGCGCTGATGTTTTGGCCTACCGTTGTACACGCACAGTAGGCATATTAAAAGAATCCTATCAGCATAAGAGTACCATTTTCGTAGTTAGCATGTCAAATAAACCCTGAGGGCCAAGTTTCAGCGAATTTTG